ATCCCTCCATAGGCTCCACTGATTAGCCTAATGAATACAACCCCTTTGGAGGTTGATACCATAAACAGAAAATTACAAAAGTTGTTGCAGATTTGACACACTGCTCAGTCAATGCATGTTTATATTTATTTCATTAATTAATAAATATGACAAATGGTATAAAAACACCAGCCAACAACAAAATCAGATAACATGGAAATGAAAAATAACAATGCACAGTCATAAAATGCATGAGCAAACTTCATCCTAAAAAATAAAAATAGAGATATGATAAAGATTTATTCACAAAGTGCAAGAAGCTAAAAAATAAATAAAAAGCCGTGATAATTGATCATTTCACTTTGGATTTGACAAGGTGAACAAGATAATATATTAACTAGGCTTTAACAGTGCTCACTATCAGAGGTTGGAATTAATTTACACTGTTTACAGCATCTTATTATTTTGTATCAGCACCCTCAGATCATGTTAATTGATGTTGGGTGGGATCAATAGAAGAGTGACTATAGTAGACTCACTGGGCCTGGGGGAATGGTTTACCTATTAACATTGATGTTTGCTACAGGTTTGCTATCATGAAAACAACATAGACCAAACTCAAAAGATTGACACTGCCAGGAATTTAATTTTTTCCCCACACAATTGCATTGACAGCACTGTAATGTTCCAAAAGGCGAAAATACGGTATCTTTGCTGTTTGTACCACACGTTTTGATGGATTTATTGTCTCAGAGGCTTTGGTAATCAGTTTATACTATAGTCCAACTCGAAAGGCCAAAAACGAAATTGTTTACAGTAAAAAAGTTGAAAAACGGCTTATACCGCAGTTACCTGGATGTTATAAAATAAGAGCACTGACTGAGATAATTCACCCTACCGATAAGTGAATTAAGCCATTCACAACGTCAGACGCGGAGCACGAAGCTACGTGTCCTTTCCATTTGTTGAACAGGTAAAAAGAGAAACACTTTTATCCATTTTATATGAAAAACAAAAAATATATAAGGAAAGCTGAAAATATTTTCATAAAAATTGGGAGGGTGATGGACCCAGTTTTTCACCTTGTATCGCGGTATGTCAGTGGTAACTACCATGAGCAAAAGGAATCAAGTGGCGTCAGCAAACGCCGAAATCCGCCATGTTTTTTGCTTCACTTTCTGGCAAAGAACCGGTCCTCCAGGAATTATTATATAGCTCAGTGTGTTTACTGCTGTGAAAGAGAATTAAAATACGTATAACAGATCGCTAGGCGAAGTTAGCCTGTCAATTGTCACCAATTGATCGCTCTAGAACAAACACAATAATTATTTTGCACATATTATATAATTAGACGGTTACATCCAATCAGTGGCGTAACTATAGAACGATAATTGGGGGGGGGGGTGAATATTCATATATCCAGTTCTGCCCTACGGATTTTTTTTGTAATTGCAATAGCTTACAATAGAAATCCGTCGGGCAGAACTGAATATATAAATATTCTTCCCCCCCAATTATCTTTCTAGTTACGCCCCTAAAATCCAATGCTGCCAAAACACTTACAGGATTTCAAGAGAGTCCTTTTGAAATTGAAACAAGACGCCTGTTCTGGCTTTAACTCCGGCGCACGTGCCAGTCTTTAATATAAAGCTTCTGAACATAAACAATACAGTTCATATTCGCATTTAGATGCCTTGCGAGTTGCGAACCTATAAATGTTCGATTGCGAAATTTAGAAGCACATCGTACTTTAATTAAAAAGTATAGAAGTTCAATTGTTCAAAAATGTAAATAAACCGCATGATACATTCGCTTTGTCTTACACTTTGCTTTTGGAATAGGCGCTTATGTATAGTTATATTAAATCTTCAATCCTGTGCAAACTACGACGTGTCAACGCGCCCATACACGACCACTTCATCTTGTTAAACGGCGAAATAGCAGCGATATTATTAAAATAGGACCAGAATCTACATGTATTAAATGTCTTAAATATATTCTTACCCCAATTCAATCTAAACTTAATCGAACAGCATGAAAACAACGGTTTATTTGTTCCTCTTGGAGGAATTGCCGTATCATGCGAGCGAAATCGAATCGCGCATCGGAAAATTAGCCAAAGCTGTACACTACAACTCTTGGGAGATAAGACTGGGACGTAGATAAATACGGTTACATACACATTTCAAATACTAGAATGGTTCGCGCCATTTCAGACTTGCGACGACGAAAAATAATAAAAAAAAAACCAAAAACAAAACAAAACCGAGGCGAATTTTCAACTCCGTCGCTGACGCCGGAGTAATTACGCGTAATCACCTGTAAATATAGAAGATCGCAACTTTAAAGTGACCTTGATAATCTTTTACCGTCGCGCATTACGCGCTGCGAAACAGGAAATGTCTATATTTTATCATTTCTATGTTAACATTATGTCAAACGAACTTGTACTAAGTCATTTACACAAGAAAAGCACCAAAAGTCTGCAATTATACGCGGGAAGGCCTTGGTATCCGAGGTATAATAGTATAATTGCATCCTATGTTTAGTGCGTGTTATTGACGATCACGTCCAGTCACTTGAAGTCATCGGATGCACTTTGAAATTATTGGTTTATGTCTTGCTTTTTTTCTCTTTTAATTCTTTGAAATAAGCTAACAACAACATCCTCCCGTGTTGTTGAACTTAATCAACTTAATCAAATTATTAATTCAGTTATTGGACCTGTTTCAGGGACTATCATATCACATGCATATTATATATCAAGGGAAGATACGATTAGTAGTTACTAAATTAGGAACTAATTTAATAGTTAGGATCCTCGCTTGAAGCTAACTTGTGCTGTGCAGTGGCTATACCATGCGATCTTCTGCTTTCACTTATAAACTTTCTCCGGCAAAATCACAAGCAAAAATTCTCCTTTAGCTCGAGGTACGCGCTTAGCAAGCATCTTGTTATCAGTATGGATATCAAGTATTTTACTGGAAGATGAGTCTCCGGAAATGAGCCCCTTTACAGCTTTACCATATATGCCACTTATTGCCTAATTACTATTTCTCATTTGTTGAGGGTTCTTAGTAGCTAACATCCCCTGGCATGAAATTTCCTCTGCTAAACTCTTGTTTACCACTAAAATTTGACATATGGACCAGCAAGGGTCTTTGCATGGGTTTTTGTCGTAGAACTGAGTTGTAAATCATTATCATTACTCATAGACATCAGAGGTGGTATAACGCCTGTATTCTAGAAGCGTCCACTGAATCTCTCATTCAAACTTAGACAGTTAGTTATTTCCACTCTACTATAAGTCTATATAGGAGCATAATTTTCACAGTGTTTTACATTAAATCTTTTAATTGATTAAACAATAACTTTCACGTCAATCAATAACAACAGAATTTCTAAGCAACATGCTCATTCTCAAAGAGTATATGAATGCGAGTAAGCTTAATTTATGAACACAGCGTAATTCACCGGATATCGATAATTTACAACCCTGGGGCCGGTTGTATCAAGCCCGTTTAGCTTAAACGGTGGTTAAGTTCAAAATAGAAAGCAAGTCTATCGCTTCAGTTATTCTACAAGCAAACTAAATGTTTTTAACCCTAATACAAAGATACTGTTTACAACTACATATTCAGTGCATAATATTCAAGTTGACTCATTCAAGAGAGATCTAAGAGTGTTATTTAATTTTGACTTATCCACCGTTTAAGCTAAACGGGCTTGATACAACCGGCCCCTGGTGACCGTGGTGACAGTTGGGTGACGTTTCGCTCTGTAATCTATTTCAGATTCCTAACATATATTTGTGCAATTGAGCACACCTTGCGGTGCAGTCAAACACACGTTGGTGTGTAATTCTACACACCTGTTTTTTGTGTGTGGGTGGCGAAAAAAAGCCAATCTGTATGATTGAGTATAACTTAAAAACTAGAAGGCCTGTTACACTGAAATAACTTCCTTTAGATTCGTGAATGTCGAGCTTAAAAATTGGTATGTACCATGTGAATTTGCATACAGTATTCCCCGAGATATCGGCGTTTTTTGAAGTACGTATCTTTGAAGAGTATACAAAAATTAGTCAAAAATGGTATAACAAATAAGAAAAGATATTAATGAGCGTTTTCAACTTTTTCATCATATGATTTCTTGAGCATTGTTAACCTTAGCTGGCATATTCTGTGCAAACCCGAACTCGCTGTGGTATCGTTAAGCGAGGCATATTAATAAAAGAACAAGCAGAATTCATGCGAAATTGTTTGTTAAATTTGCGCGCTTCCGAACCAATTTTATCTCCCATGGGACATGAAATATTTGGAACAAAGTCAAAACCAAAATAGTCAATTTTTGTTTTAACGCTTTTCAACAAATCATAACACAGACTTATCCATCTGTCAAATGTCTCTATTTAAACTTCATTGAAACAGACGAGTACGTGCGATAAAATACTAGGATTTGTCAACTCACAACTTTAATATGCCATTTTTAGCTAACTTTTTACACTTTTGAGTTTTGGAAATGCATACTTAAATTGAACCGTGATATCTCAGTCAAAACTGCATGAAAAACCTCACGCTATATATCAAAATTTAATTTAAACATCAGAGAATATAAAAAACATAATATAATGTAATAACTCTTTTAAGTTATATACTCAATCAAACAGGTTAATGTTTTTAAACTTTCCCTCATATGACTCATTATATTCATATTAAATTAAAATTTGGGGAAAAACATGCATGTTGTGAGAGTTATAAAGCACAAAAGAATATTGTTAGTTAAGGCCTTGTTTTACATCGTATACTATTTAATATCTATTTCTATTGCATCATTTGCATGTTAGAGTCTCTTTAAATGATAATCGAATCGATCGCCCCGGAACAAACACAATATTTCGCACATAATATATATAATTAAGCTAAAAGCACAAGCAAAACACTCCTTTAGCTCGAATAAACGCTTAGCAAGCGTCTTGTTTATGATGGCATTCGTTTACGCAATTCATACCCATCGACTCGTGGGATGTTGTTGGGATCCACAAGAACAGTTCCTCCTTGGCAAAACTGTTCCTGTTTGGGTTTTTTATTTCATTTGCGTTGATTTGTGGGACATGCGTATAGAATTAAGCTCGTACTTGCTCGTTATTTCCCCTGTTTACAAGAGCTATGTTTAATGATACTTGTAATGGTAGCGGATTATACATGCGGTTACGCATTTATTATATCCCACTTGCGATTTATTATATCCGGTTGGGATTTATAGCGTAGCCATTATGTCGGAAATGTTAGCTATAAATAACAATTTTCTTTCGGAACCATACAAGACTTATATATAGGTCTAAATAACGCCAGAACAAACACAATCAATGGTAAGTAACAATATATTTTACAAACGGCGCCCCGAAGACCATAACATAGATTCACTTGAAGAAACCGGACGCACTTGGAAATTATACTCTGGCTTACTTATGCCTGGATTTGTTTCTATAACTACGAATAAATACGAATATATTGCGAACTAACAAGAACATCCTCCCGTCTAAGATCCTCTTCTGGCTAATTTCCCCCCTTGGAATAAAAGCGCTGGTTCTTCAGCAATTCACTCAATTCACATTTGGTTTGTTCTAAGCTTGGAGGATCTCGCCTTTGAAAACTTGCAGGTACGTTTATGCGTTGTTTGTAGCATGCGCGCGCAGCTAGAACTGTCTCTGGTTCAGAAGGGAACGAGTTAGGACTAAATTATTTTAAATCATTTTAAATTTATCCCCTAAATGATTGCCCAAAACTGCATGACTTACTATTTCTATGAAGTGCGTGTCATCACCTAAAGACCTATTTAGAATACACGATAAGTTGTATGCAATTATATATCATTCTGACGAATGCAAAAGAGGGCCTATGCCACATCTTCATTCAATTTGGCTCAGGGATTAAAAGTGTCGTTTGTACGTTTGTACGTTTGTACCTGTGTTCACACGTTCACATACGCCAGGGTACGAATCGCGTACTACAAATCGCATTGTGTAAACGGGCCTTAACTTTATACTAAAATAGGCCCATATTGTCACTGCATGTTTGCTTCCACAAGGAACAAATTGTACAGCTCTTTGCTGTAAATATATATGTGAAAATTTGTGTCAAAACCAAAAACAGTATAGTGCTCACTCTTCCATGCATCAAATCCTGTTATTATAATTGTTAAGTGACCAGAACCATGAAAGGATACCTGGCCATTTTTGCCGTTTCGCTTGCTGTGGCCTCGTTATTGTTGGTGGATGCCGCACCTCAAGCTGAAGGTTAGTAAAAATATATTCATGGCCACATTGGCGTGCTCTAAACAGTTAATTTCTCTGTTCACTCCAGACAATGACAATAGAGCTTCCATTCCAAGCATTTGCTATTTGGGAACGAAATTAATGAAATGATGATGTATCTATCTTTACTATTATTTATACATAATTAAATCTTATCCCTCAATGCTTATACGACTTTGCCCTGCATGCGCATGAAATGTACTTCAGACCAGTTTTGTACTGCAGTGCCAGTGGGTTTAGACTCAACCTAACTGGGACTCCCTAATTAATACATAACTAAAATTTTTCTCATTTTTTTAAGTACACTCGAGAGCGAAACGCGGTTTCAAATCGTATTTTGAGAATTACCTGGATGAAATGGCGACAAGCGCTTGTGTTGCGATGGGAAGCACTGGAAGTCTGTACTTCGCAGTTCGTCGAACTTGTACTTCATCTAACACACAAAATTGTCATAGTCTGTGTACTTCGCATCAAGTCAGAAAGGAAGCCCAAATCTGGAATCCTAACAAGTAAGAAACGCCGAGAACCAATGAATACAAACAAAGGGCAGGGGCTAGTGGCCTTGCTCGGTCTTCCAGTTCCGGCGTCGCTGTATGAAAAATAGAAATGACCGACGAAAATGAATCATTTAACATCATCAGCTTTTTGCTTTCGAGTATACATCATTATTTTATCTGAAGTTCTAAATAATTTAGTCACCCTAGAGAAATAATTTGATATTTAGCAATAAAAATCGATCGACAGCTGTACTCCTCTCGACCAATCAGCACCAGGAAATTTTATCATGCTACTAATTATTATATATTTTTTCGCTAAATTTCTAGGCTGCTTAATTCAAAATGTGTGGAATCACTTCATGTCTACAAAGGCCGTCCATCGTTGGCAGACAATAAGAACGCTGACACAGATGTGAATAAAGTTGGCTTAGCAATTTACCGTTACCATTCTTGCCATTCAAGCAGTTGTGGTCCCAATTACTGTTGCTGTTCAGGGCCGTACGAAGGCTAAAAAAATTTGAACAATTTCATTCCGTTTAAATCGCAGATGTTTAATTTGTAATGAGAATCATGAGAAAAAATCGTTTTGTCGAAAATTATATTTTGTGATTGTGTAATTCCTATATTATGTACTTCCTATATATGTAAAACCTATGTACTTCCAAATATATAATCCCTCGGGCTCAAAAGATTGTAGATTTGTGGTCAACAAACGTTTGAATTCTCGTGGGTTGTCGTCGCTATGAATGAATCCAAAAGCTAATTCATTATGATACGTATATACAGGGGCAAACACGAAATAAAAAAAATAGACAACTACCATCTCAAGGATTATAAACTACGAGTCGTTCCTATTTCACCGACTGTTTTTGTTTTCTTCTGATAATCTTTTCCCAGTGTTTGCATAATTTTATTTGATTCCATATCTTTCATTTTTATTAAAGTTTACGAAAGGGATTGATGCAACATTTCCCCTTTTTAACTCACTTAATATATGAATAGATTAATTAAATTAGTGCGTCCTGTACTATTTTTTGTACATATATAACACAATTTCCCCTTGTGAAATAAGGGTAGAATTATGCTGAAGGGTATATGTGTTAATTAACGTGTGTGCATGTCATTTTAGGACAAAATTAAACACACAATAATGAATAAAGATTCGCGAGAAAAATCTTTTATTTCTTAGGTTACGCAATTTCTTAGGTTACAACATTTAGCATGCTTTGCACTGTTCGAGAATTCAACATAATCAGTGAAGTAATATAGTTTAGGCACTCTTTGACCATTAAATATATAGTAATTTACGATGTGATTAACTATTTAATCTTTTAAAAAAAATCTTTCAGAAATACAAACTTTTCTCCTTAGCGAATTAGGACGTTGCTTCAGTCTTCACTCGTTTAAATTTCGCGCATGCGCAAAACTAACAAACCTGTCCAACGTCGACCGTCCATTACATAGAATTTGGACGACTTTGGACTCGGCCATGTTCTGTTTAAATAGCAGGGTGTAATGAATCACCCAGCGGAGTCAGTACACTCGACGCTTCGCGCCGGATCGGGCACTAAATTTTACAAACGATGAAACAAACTAAATTGGCTATGAAAACGCTTGGTTTAGCTTAATCGGGTGATTTCGAATCGGTTCTAAAAAAGTTCGTAATGATCTTTGACATTTTGCGATAATTTGTCCCCAACCTTGAGGCGATACGATTAAAATGTAAGATAAGAACACCTCTATCATATGGAGAAAAAGTATAAAAACCTTACTATCGAAAGAAAAAAGGCAGAATAACTAAAGAAGGAAGTTTGTAGAATATATTTGTGATCAGTCAAGCAGATTATTGAGGATTTTGAAACAGGACAGTTGGTGAACGGGAGATGGAATTTGGGCAAAGAAAAATTAAAATGCTTATGGCAGTTATCATTTGAATGATTTGATGCTCTCATTGAAAATTCTTACACGAAGCAACTTAGAGGATCCTAATACTTTTTACATAATATTATGCTGTCACCACAAAGACTCGTTGGAACTTATGTTCGAACAGCCTGGTAGCTCCGATGTTGATCCAATTTGAGTTGAGTTGTTCTGCAAATTTCGACCTCTATCACACCCAATACCAGATATGCAATCATTCCTTTGCCAAAAATTTCTGATGTTACCCTCCATCAAACTTCGTTTTCTAAGGTTTAGAGGTTGGGCTGTAAACATATTCCTTTCATTGTGGAATTGCAAAGACATATCTGACGTTTCATCAAACAAGCAAAAGTTTTGCTGATTACTGCCAGGGCTTTCTTGAAATAAGGAAACATTGTCAGACGTTGTCACTCTGGAGCAATTTGAAGAAATATGATCATCAGATTCGTCCTCATTATTAACTGTTTTCAAACAATCTTTCACGATCCCGTCTGCTAAGTTTTGACTCTGTTGAGAAGGAATCGTCCTACTGCTGATGGTTTTAGAAGGCCCCATTCCAATAATTTTGTGATAATTGTTTTCCTTATAGCAAGGCTTAATCGGTTGCATGGATACTTCGTACATCAACTGTTTGGGGGGTTCATCACATTTGACATTGACATCGAACGGTGAGGTGTCTGGGGAAATTCCGCTGTCATAACTATCATAATCTTCCTTCGAGACGGGAATATCTATATTTTCTACTTCTATACAAACAGAATTAGAAGGACTTGTAAACCGATTTTCGTAATCATCTTGCCGAGAAAATTCGTCTTCTTGGTAGATAAAGTTAGGTGATTTTGCACAATTCTTTTTGTTATCATCATTGGTAACAATACAAGAGCTTTCGCTGACACTTGATGATTATTTTCTGGAATTGAATCGCCATTTTTATTGGACGAAGATAACGGAGAACAAACTGCATCATCTCCCGTTTTTTCTTCATCGTCTTCAAATGTTACATCAAAATCAGTGTTTTCATACATGTACGTCCGTTTTGCCATTGTGCAGGGAGCATCGGACAGGGTATGATTGTGGGATAACAAGTCCCGATGTTTCTCAAATTTCTCATTGCAAACGTCACACTCGTAAATTTGGTCTGTATTGTGTATCCGTCTACAGTGCTGTAGCAGAGCACCCCTTTGCGTAAAGTCCTGTGGGCAGAAAATACATTTGTAAGGCCTTTTCCCGTTGTGAGTCCTTTGGTGAACAGTCAATGAGCCTGGTGTTCGAAACGACTTGTTGCAGTCCGTACAATTAAGAGGATTCTTTTCAGTATGAGTTATGGCATGATTCTGCAGCACGTTTGCTTCGGGAAACTCTTCGCCGCAGACATCACATTTATGAGTCTGCTCATTCAAACTGTTTTTTTCATTCTGATGTATCGCTGGCGTGTGACTATTGGGAAAAGACAAATCTCTGTAATTAATCGTTTTTAATTTTTCGGAAACCATTGTCGATAGTTTCTCTTTAACCAGGACACAACTGTTTTCTCCTTCTGTATAGCTTCGGATTACGGCCTCTCCAACTGATTTATTTAAACGAATCTTGCGACGAGGAGAAGACTTGGCCTGAACCTTTCTTTTCCTTTTTTTGCTGTTAATTTCGCTACTAGGTTCGGGTGCATCTCTTTTACTGCTTGTGGGAGTTTTGACTGCATCTGGATCGGAATCTTGGTCTATTTTCTTCAATTTATCTAAATTTTGGCAAGAAACGTTTGTTACATGAATCGAAGCGTTCACACACTCAGTATTAGATATACCAACATCTCCACATTGAGAGTCAGTACAAGTTTCCAAATGTGTTTTCTTGTGTGAGGATAATTCCAGAAATTTCTCGAATTTTTCCTTGCAAACATCACATTCATAAATCCTGTCTGACTGATGTTCTTTTCTACAATGCGCCCTCAGTGGTCCCAACTGAGTAAACGACTTCGTACAGAAAATGCAAGTGTGAGGCTTTTGTCCAGTATGTGTTCTTTCATGGTACTTTAAGGTAACTGCTCCCCGAAACGTTTTGCCACATGTCGTACATGGATAAGGATTTTCGCCAGTGTGCGTTCTCATATGATAACTTAACAAATGTTTTTGCGAGAAGCGTTTGTTGCAGATATCACACTCGTGCCTTTTTTCAACACTACTTTTTTCCTTCCCACCTTGTTCATCAGTTTCGGCGCGACGTTCGCTAGAAGAGTTTCGTTTCAAGCAACTCTGGTGCTTCTTGTGGATCCACAGCCCAGCGGGCTGACTAAAGGCTTTGCCGCAAATGTCACATTTGTAGGATTTTTCACCATGAATCTTTTCGTGCAATACGAGATACGTTCGACGGCTAAATGTTTTACAACAGACCCGACATTTATGTAATTCTTCACTGCTAATATTATTTGACATAACTCGACACCTATCGATCTTGTATCAACCGAGGAAAACGCGGATGAGAGGGGGGTACATTCAAGGACCTGAAATAAAAATAATACAAGTTAAGTGTGTTTCATTCACGTCCTATACTTAGAATTGTTTTCGCTTTGAAACTTTGCCATCCTTTCCCCGAATTATGTCTCATTAGCGGTATTTTCACTATGAGCTTATTCATGGTTGGCCACGAGTGAAATTGGCCTTGATTTTCCTACAGCATGCAAGCTGACTTCGACTTGGGAACTCAGGACTTACGGAAATATAAACACTTCAACCTTAGCGCTTTCTCGTTTCCATTTGCAGCTATCTCAGCAGCAAGAGCCTATGCACAAAAATAGCAAAAACGCGCTTACGAAGTTGTACACAAATTCCGATTTTATTTCATTTAAAAGCAATGTCTGCTAAAACTCTGAGTACAAGTCAACTTTTATATAACGCACATTAATTGGTTTGTGAGGAATTAAAAATTCCCATTTTACTTTCCATCGCATGGTCTATAGCCGTGCAAATAGTTTTTTTCCGTTGCACGCGGTGGCTTTCACTAAATCCAATCACTCACAGTATTAATCGTGCTCATAATCACGCATTTAATCACAAAACGAATAATATAGCAGGTGGGGAGATCATATGTAAACTGTTGTATATTTAAAAAATAGCTCAACAGCATAGGACCTATTTTGGTGTTATATAGCTATAAACAAATTATGAATGCTTTCATTCGTGCAATGGAAAGATTACTTTATTTGCTAAAAGATGCAATGTCCTTATAAACATTCCATCTTTCATCCGAATCAAAGTGTATTCTTATCATTGAGCTCATAAATATTTATTGCAATATAAGATCAGGGATGAAAAAATTTTTTGCCCGGCTATGGTATTCTTCCATGTAACCGAGTTAAAGAACTCTACCACCAATTTTCATCATTTTATTACAGATAACGTCACAAGAAGCGTTAAAAAAATTCGCCTCGAAAAATTAGAACCGCTTCTTTATTAGTTCGCGCGAATAAAAACGTCTATATATAGTGAGGAACTGGGTTTAAAGAGTTTGCATAGAGTTTTAAAGACATTTTCGCTGATGTCCGTAACTACTTTTAACTTTTCTTTGCTTCAATCTTTACTGTAATAAGATAATAAGATCTTAAAAGGATTGAATTAACATCCTATACACAAGGGCCAGATTTAACGAACACACACGCGCTATAGGTAAATCGGTGTATTTTGTCTATTTAGAAAGGAGTGAGTAGAAATTACGTGCAAATTAATGTTTTTCACGTACGTATAAATGAGGAACATCGAGACTACATTTCCATGCGATAACACAATAATGAGAGTCGTTCATAGACTTCCGGGCAATTCTCGTGGATGTTCCTTTTTGGCGCGAAGACCCTTGCCATGATGACAGGGAAACAGGGAAACAGGGAAACAGAAGCCGCTGCAGGTTCCGGCATTTTAAAGCAGATTTTTATGGTGTAAACTACGAACAGACAGCCAAATTGACAAAAAAACAGCGTTAAAAATTGATCTCGCATTCATAGGACATCACATGAGAGGCGAGTTATTTAATCTATTTCTGTGGAATATCGTGCTGCTGATATGAATGACCTCGCTCTAACTAAATCCATGATAATCTGAAAAGGTGTTTTGTACAACTTTGCATAAAAGACCAACAACTTACAGGGTGAGGAGTGTTGCCAACAATATAGAGACCTTTATTTCAGGGTCATGCACTTTTTAAAATAGTCTTTTGGCACTTGTGGGACACAATATGTCTCAGTGATTAGTGATTACTTTCATAATGGTTGAACATAATCTACTGTTATTCCGGCTTCCAAAACGCAGTGGGAAAGATTGGCGAATGGACATTGACCTACTAGAAAATATGAAAATCAAACGACGTCTTAAACCACCAACAACTCCTGTTAACTCGAGCCCCCGGTATAACTCGAACAATTTTTCTTTCCCCTTGGGAGTTCGAGTTAGCGAGGACTACTGTATGTATGTACGTAACCTTTATTTAAAATCTGATCGATGTTATATAGCCTCATCAATATTTGCTGGTCTCCATAAGGGGCGTCGATGAACATGCAAAAAGAAAGTAAAAAATAACTATTTACAGACAATAACATGAAAAGATAAAGTGAAAATAGAAAGTTAGTGGAAAATATGTACATTTAAATTTTTACTTATTATATTGGTGTGACCCTATTTAATTATTAATTCGTTTAAAAAGCTATGCTGATTCTGCTTATTTTGCTTCCGGAGAAAGGCTATTCCAAAGTTTCGTGCCACTATATTGGAAATTTTTTTAAGGAAATCCCTTCTCGGAATAGGAAGAGCTAGATCAGTTAATGTATTTCTTAGATTATGATGACCTTGCAATGTGCTAATCCTGGTGAATGAATATTTCAGGTTTGGCGCGCTCAAATTATTTAAAATTCTAGACATTAATATAGATTGATTACGTATTCGTCTATCCTCTTAAGTTAACCACCCAAAAGATACAAGAACGACGGCCGAATTGACTTCATAGTTTGCCCCGGCAATTATGCTAGCCGCACGATTTTGACACTTTTGAATTAGCTTGTCTTTTAAAGCTCCACAGCAGTTTCCCCATGGAGGGAGAACATGCAGTGATGAAATTATGGCTGTATCAGAGCATTATAAATCATTTGCATAGTATGAAAGGGAATAAAGGCCTTGATTCTTTTTATAACAGCTATCCCAGCCCCTACCAATTAGATGACAAGGCCTGTGGCAAGGCTATAGCCTCAACTATTTCTTTTTCATTATTGTTTGGTAAGTGAAACCGTTTAATTAATGGGGCGAGCAAACAAATCACGACGAACGTGGTATTTAAGTGACGTGTTCAGCGCCTTTGGCGGATGCGGAAGAGAGACCCAACATTTTCTCTCCTTCATTGGTGCGAAGCTTGCTGACAAGAAGAATCATTCTCCATCTATATGGTGGTTAGCTGGTAATGACCCTAACCATATTGCATTTTGCTCTAATAGTCACAAAATCTAGTAATTGCTAAAGCATCACATTAATGCTTTAACCAATGGGACTAAAATGCAAAATTAAATTTGTAGCTTTATAGTCAAAAATAAAGACATAAAGTATCAATACAACCACACGATCAAGATCGCCTTTGCTTTGCTTTGTTTTGCTTAGAGCTCGCGTGGTGTGCGTTCGTGGAAGTCGAAGTTGAAGGACTGCGTCCATCACATCAACTAATGACATTACTTTGTCTGAATGGAACTCAAACATTAGCGAGTAGTCTAGTTAAGTTGTTCTTGTAAACTGTTATACTTAGAACTATTATACTTAGTTTTAATGCATGATCGATTATTGTAATTTTCCCTAACGACAGAGCTATATAGATATAATGTACGATTTTATTACAGTTCACTGAGGTCAACTTTAAGTGACGTGTAGATGTTGCACGTCAATAATTGCACCAGTAAATTGCACTGATGAAGGCCCGGGCTAACGGACCAAAAACCTCGCAGTATTAAATACTTACTTAGAGTAACATTGTTGGTGCGAACATGCACTGTATTGGTGTTTCAAGCAAATGCACAATAGATAAAATCAAATTTTGGGCACGATGGAATTTGTTCATGGATTGGCATAAATCAAGAGAAATCAAAATCGCTTTTGAAGTAAAAAAAACCCTAACCCTAACCCTAACCATATTGCATTTTGCTCTAATGGTCAACTTTATTTGGTGGTACATAGAAAAGTCCAGCCTGTAGTTGGTATTCACTCTCTATTAATAAAATTTAAAAAGGCGTTAAGTTTTTTTTAATTTACAGTTACGACGTCACATTTTATAACAAATTTTTACACCTTTGCCCTTCGCGTTGTACAGTCACTAGTTTTTCATCAAATTATACACAAGCAGGTGAACAATTTTGGAGGATGAATCATCCTAGATTTTAATACTAAACTAGGGATCCAAGGATAGTGCAAAGTTTTAGCTATAATGCAAATGCTGTTATACTTGTGGTTTACTCAATTCGAAAACTCATCACTCATAAATGCAAGATTCAGATTTTCTGGCTCTCAATTAAAATATGAGTAATTAAATCTTCAGTGCATGAAATATTTTGTTCAGTATTAATTTTATAGATATTTTTGCTCAACAAACAGTAATAAAGTCTATAACACCTGTATTCAAAGATCTCCCTCACACTCTGACACTCATACTCAATGAGTGTGGCATGGAAATTGTGTCGATGCAAAGATTTAAGCTAAAACATTAAGAATAAAGCTTTATTGAAGTGGAAATACCTCTAGAGAATAGGGACCACATATATAAGTCTATATAAATGCAAACCAATTTCCGTAACGTTTGTGACCCAGCTGAAATCAGAAACTCGCGAAAACCACTGACAGCGTAGTAATTTAAAAGCAATATTTCCTCCACCCATCAAAATCAAACATGCATTTAAAAGTTATAATGATGCATGTTGTCGAATTTCAAATACTTAATAAATTTTAAAAAATGGCAAGCGTATAGAAATTTTCAGGCGTCACTCGGACTCACTCCGGCCGTATATGTTAAAGTCGACCCATATAAGAGTGGCCTATAAACGGGTTATATATATATATTTCATGCATACACACAATAGAAAAAATGCTTCAAGCCCACAAATGTTGCTATGCTGCAAGAAGGAAGGGGATTACTTAGAAACTCACAGACTGAGAGTGAAACTCAATAAGTCTAATAGACCCGAAAATATCACTTAACCGACTATATAAACAAATATATATATATATAATTATATATATATATATATATATATATATATATATATATATATATATATTAGCCGTTTTAAGTATAATAAAACGCTTTTTCGTGAGTCTAGGTAATTGTCGAGAGTCGAGAGTATAAAGTCGAGAGTCGAAAGTATCAGGTCGAGAGTCCTAAAAATCCCAATTTTCGCGCACAAGGGGTATTTCTACTTATATATTACGTTTATTTTTACTAATATTACACTGCAGTTTACTTGTGAATTGACGCTTCATGTTTCAACTTCCGAGGTAAAATATTATTGTGATGCGTATTATATTATCAATATATTTCATCTATTATCGAGAAAACAAAAGCTACGGCAAGGTGTGCGTCTAGCTCAATTTTTACGTACATCATTATTTTGCGAGTTGTGCTTTTGAGGAATATAGCTCAAACAAACAACCCGTTCTCGCCTGAACAGAAGTATTAAATAAATGATGTAAACATTTTATAATAAAATATTTCTGAGAAGAATCCCACAAGATACTTTCAAATTGCACTATACTGTATAAACCTTAAAGTAAATAAACCTTGCATGATTTACATAATCGATGCGTGAATCGATCACTTGTCCTGACAGCACGAAAATATAACCAAACATACTCAAATTACATTACTATAGTCGCGATATTATATATGGATATCAACCATAACAATATAATTACCCTTGAATGCCTACTGTGTCTACTATACTGTGTGGATCCACAGTTTTCATTTTGAAGCATTTTTTATGACAGTAAAATTGGTTTGTGCATAGGCGTACGGGACTTTTAAAATGTGGTCGCGCAGATGAAACATGGTCTAACGTAATTAATGTAATAGTTACTTTGCCCTTCTTTTGGACTGATTGGACGCCTGTATATATTCAAAACCGATCCGTCTATTTACATAACCATATGCGCGCAATCGCACTATAGCTCTATTTATGGAATAAACCTTCAAAATTATATTTGTGTCAAATTTAACGCTCGTAATTCATAACATAAGTTCATAAATTGCGTAGATTCTCAAAGAATTGCACGATTTTTACGCCCGGAATGTTTTGAAGCAATGCTCGTCGCTCCTCGTTTCTTTACATCGTGAATAATGTTGAAGGCTCGACGGCACATGCGCAGTTGCGACGTATAGGAAAAAATCGGGTGTTCCGGGGGCAAATCTGCGCAAATCCCTTTGAAACAAAACCCAAACAGCGGAAAAGCAATGCTTCAAAATTTACAGTAACGGTCAAAATTCCTCAATATTTTGGTGAACTTAGCAAAAGGGATGTAGACAATTAATAAATAAAGCAAGTTAAACTGATTTAAAAACTTTAAATTACTGATCATATACAAAAAGGTACTATACGCATAAAAACACTCCGCCCCGACTGTCTGACTGTCTGATGTGAATTTTCGCCACTCACCACAATACTGCAAAGTTTCACAGAAACTTTGCACTAAAAATGGCAAATAATTATAGGAGAGGTAAGCTGATGAAGGATAGGCTGATGGCATTTGATTAATATACCTCACTTTCTATATATCTTGATGCATAAATATAGTTCTATATATATAAACTGTATAGTTTTATATGTGGAAAGTTGGTTGACCACTTGATTATTTTGTTAACTCTAAATTTGGCATTTCAATGCGGGATGACTGTTGGGGGTGTATATATTCCCAGTCAGTGGAGGTGTGCAGTGACTATGCACCTCTTGCACACCTTTCTTAAAATGCAGGCATGAGAATGACAGCTTCCGCTTTGAACACATGATTTTCTTATATTTAATCACTATACACCAGATTGTGATGGAAAATTTCATATTTCATGCATAAGAGTTATACAAGGTAAAAAAACTAAATACAATATGTGATATGTGGCCATTAAATACTATACTAAAATTCGCAACCCCACTGTATCCAATTGATGTAGCTAGATTATTACACTAGTAAATCCATCCCTGGATTTAATCAAGATTATTATGCTTTTATAATAACATAATAGTTCATCTGGGGATGGTTGTATAAAAATTTAGTTAACTTTTAACTATTGTTAGTGGCAGAATTGGCCAATGAGAATGTATTTTCTAGTTAGCTATGATTTAACTACACAAAATTTGGTCAAGAGTTTATTCAACCAGCCCCTGAATGTGAAATGTTGCTTAAAAAGAAACAGAATAATAATAAGAAGAATCAATCTTTATAGCATTTTCCTGGCACTACCAGACCAATTCACCTCATGTAAGCACTGGTGGCTCTAAATATGTTCAAATTAATTATCTGGCAATAAAGTATGGACAAATTATGGTAAAATTGCGATAAACATTTATGAAGGCAGTTAAGATTCGTATTATTTCTGGTTGTGAACCATCTGATAAGCAGGCTAGGGCTGATCTAATAACACAAAAATTTACCAGAGAGCTCTATCAAGCCAAGTTGTATGATTGAAATAAAGATTTTGCTCAATATGTGTTGTAATGCAACATAGAACTTCTTGATATTGTCAACATGAATTCACAATCTTGACTAACATATATATGACAATGAAGATTTACTTTTCGCAATCAGAAACCATCATTGAATTTCACAAAATCTAGTAATTGCTAAAGCATCACATTAATGCTTTAACCGATGGGACTAAAATGCAACATTAAATTTGTAGCTTTATAGTCAAAAATAAAGACATAAAGTATCAATACAACCACACTGTATTAACACAGACATTTTAACAAACTTCCTATTCCTATTCTTTTTATTCCTTAGTTTTTACCTCACTTACCTATCGTGTTTCCAAAAGATTACACTTTTACACATCGGCTTTCAACGCTATTTTATGGCGAAATGTATCTTCGGCTTGACAATAGAAATTCACAACAACTATAATAGCACAGAATATGCCCGTTCGCGGGCTAGCCTTTCTCGATATTCAATCACAGAGAAATTATGCATAAAGAGGTGGAACTAGTGTCCCACTTTTTAGTGCGCATGCTCGGCAAGTGCTTGTAATTTATCTTAAGTGCGTAAAATGCTATATAAATGACGATATTGTAAAGCTTCAATTAATCGAAAATGTTTGAGCAAGAAATCCAAGCAATTTAAAAATTTCAGTCACTTGCCGAGCATGCCCACTTTTAGCTCACGCGCAAAAAAAGGGATAAAAAAACGCCATATTCAGTTTACTATACGCCACCTAGTTCCAGCTGTGCATCTATCAGCCATTTCCCGATCAAGCAGGGTACTGGGTCTAGTCGCGAACCGCAAAGCGTCTATGGGTTGTTTGGAGAGGCAAATCACAAATGATTTCAGACTTCTATTTCCTGTCCTTCCAAACATTCCATAGGTGCTTTGCAGTTCGCGACCAGACCCAGTACCCTGTTCGATTGGCTAATTGTTTACTATATGATTCCATGATGTGATTCAATACTTCGCCAATTCATATTAGACCTTTTGCATTAAAGACTACTTCCTGATCTATGCAAGGAAATGCAATCAAATCTGAAAAGAGCGTACTGAAATTGATAGAAATGCAAAGTTTGGCTGTGAAATGTTGTAAATTTTGGAAAATATAGCCTTGCAGAGTTTGCAAATCGAGTATACTTTTTAGGATAAACAGAAATTGTTACCATTTTTGGCCTAAATGTGCTAACAATTTGCGTTTGTGGTAAAAAGTAAACAAATTTGCAAATTTTGCGAGGCTATATTTTCCAACCTTATTGTATTTTACAATATTTCGCTACCAAACTTTGCCGCATTTCTTCTAATTTCAATACGCTCTTTTCAGCTGTGGCGATTTGATTGCATTTCCTTGCATGCCATTAAAATTAGTCTATAATGCAAAAGGTCTATTTGTACACACAGTAGCTCGCTAACAGGCGCGCACGTGTGTGCATTAAATTTTTCTTAAATAAATTTCAATTCCCAACTTGTTCTTATCGACTTATCATACATTGTTTCCCACGATATAAGCTGCAATACCATACGCCACAGAACTCTAAAACAATTGGAACGATGAAATGAAATGCATTACGTCTCTAAAATCCTATGATTGGATGAAACAAAATTTAATCTGATTTTAGTACTAACTGAGAAAATCAGAAAAACACTCTCAAAAAGACTAGGGAAAGTGTCTAGAAGCAAAAAAGGGGGGATAGCAAAGAGATGTTTTCCGTCCGATACCATTAATTTCCAAGCTTTCAAAGATTTTAGCTCATTAACATCAGGTTCAACGTCAGAGACGGGCCTAACGTAAGCATTTGATTTGTGCCCCAAGGATCCTGTCTGAGCCAACCTTTGTTCGTTGTCCTATATGAGTCTAGCTTGTTGCAGATTATGGAAACCGTATGTTTCCTTTAAACCAGATTGCATTACTGACAAATTATCTGCGATTACTACCATCACGGAAAATTGTATTGATGACATTAAAGCTGATAGTTGTTGAATAATAAACTCAAACTTTTTTATCACAAATGACAAAACTGCGACCACTAACATGGTCAATATGGAACAGAGATTATTTTTGCTTCAGAACCGAAGACAAATATTTACTGTCAAAACGTATGCCTCATTTATATCATTGGTAATTGCATTTTAATCCCATTTATTACTGTCTTGCCTTTTAAACAAGCAAAGATCAATGCAAATAACATGCTTTTAATTGCTTTCATCTGTGACATATGCCAATAATAATTATTTGGTGCAATGGTGCACGAACAAAGTGCTAAAAATCCCGACTTCTGCATGGTCGAATATAATGAAATATGGACCCCATAGAGGTGTTGACGTATGGTTCAAAAGAGTGCATCGGTTAGCTAAAATGCTGGATCTGCCCCTGCATTCAATGTAAAACTGATTACAACAGTGACAATTTATTGTCAATGAAACCTGTACATTCCTGCTGGATCTGTGAAATCATACTAATATCTCCAGCTAATGGTGACAACGTATTCTCATGAACTTTGCAAAGCCAAGTGTATAATCCTGCTGAAACAACAGCCTCCCACCATTATTTTCCACGTATTAACATATATTACCATCTGTTAACGGATATTTCAAGCTGTTTCAAACGAGCTGACAATTCTTAGAGAATCTATGATGTTTGGATGTCGGACTTTTCTCTGTGACTAATTAACAATGATGCACTGAAACTAAGTGAATTTAGTCAACATGCATGAAAATGTCTGAAACTCTCCTATTAAACTATATAAGGAGTGCCACCATCCTGCAACCTTACTCCTTTCTTTTTTGTTCTGTCCAACTTTTGTATACTCTCTCTCTAAACGTGTTGTATGTATAATCTCTATTCCGTCGTTTAAACCTGAAACAATGAAAAATATTGTTAAATTGTTTTGTTTAATAAAACCTACTTTATTATAACTACTGTATCCAACTAGCTAACTAGCCCATTTTTGTCTTTGCGTATGGCATTAGAACGTAAAACTAAGCATCACTTGATATTTCCTCGCCATTTTACCAACCTGTCGTTTGGGAATGAACACAACTTGAAAATCTTTGCCAACGGATAACTTTATCGCAGCCAATGCTTTAGAGGCTACCCACATGTACCGATGTACGCATGACGTACCTATTTTTATGAAGCGTAGAGAAAATTCATACAAAATAAATGGAATGCGCATGACCTATTGACACAAGGCATCACATTCCTCAACTTCCACAATATCAATATTTCATTTATCTGGTTCCGTGTTTGCACGTGAAGGCACGGGCTTCAGTCGCCGTTTTCCTGTATTGAACGACAGAAAGACTAACTAGAAAGGAATAGGCACTTAATTTTGTAATAAAAACAACCGCATATCGATAAGGACGAAACATGCAAACATGATCACTTGCTGTCTCGCATATTCGCCGGTAATTGTTTGACATCAAACCATCATATTTGTTCAAGAGTATTAAAACAACTGCAAAAGATGATTGGGTAAATCACTTGAAAATAATCCAAAGGGAACAGCTCTAGGGCTGTGAAATAATACAGAAATTAGAGTGAATGTCTCACAGGGTTGATACAATTATTCGCGTATGCCCCCTGGAAATATGAAATTGATACAATATTGAGCTTTAGTTGCTTGCCTAATTATGTATTGCTAAGGACCTTCAGAACGAAAGGTCAAAAGGTCAAGGAATGTTTGATAAAGTCCTAAGAATGGATAAACACGGCTAACGCTTTATCTGTTTGTTTTTCAACAGTCTGCTCGAATTCCTGCAGTACCAGTTAAGTCTGAACCAAGCTAAGCCGTATCAAGATGAGCGACCTAAATCACGACCCCGCGTACCCGAGTTACGTTGAGGAATACTTTGATAAATCCACCGAACGAGAAGTGTTCACGGAATGGGTGTTTGCAAATGCTAGCAAAATTGTTGTATCTGATTTCTCGAGTGGAAAATATGCAATTCTCGACGTAGGCACGCCAGACGGGGACACCGATTTGCAGATTCTGTCGCTAATATGGCGGAATTTGGAACCGGGCACGGAGACCTCTTTCAGAATTGTGAATGCTCAGGCAGCCGTGTTGGAGAAATACAAAGCTGCCTTGAGTTCCAGCAAGAAGCGGGAATACAAGAAAATTGCGTTTGACTGGCGCGCAGCGAGCTTGCCTGATTACCTCGGAGGAAAATCAGGGGAGTCTGGTGGATGCAAGATGAATTTGGTTTTCTTCATGCAAAGTTTATATTACGAAGAACCCGAACAAGTACTGGTCGATGTCTACGACAAGGAGTTGGAACACAACGGTGTGATCGTTTGCGTTGTACAAGATGAAGGCAATTTTGCAGTCAGAATGCAGAACGAACTTCGGGGCAAGGATTTTCCGAAGTCGAAGAGGAATGTCAGCGGTAAGGATATCGTAGCAGTGGCGGAGAAACACGAGTGGAAATGTGAGGTAGACACACTGGAGTATATCGTAGATGTTGGCGAATGCCTCAAACAAGGCTCGAGCAAAGGCGATATGCTGTTGGATATGATGTTCAATGTCAAAGATCTTCGGAAGCAAGCCCCAGCCGATGTTAGCGAGCACATCACGAAGTCCTTAGAAAAGGAAGCCGCCTCTAGCGGTGGCTCGAGGATTCTCCGCGAAAAGGTTGCAATAGTTATGATCTACAAATGACTGAGGACATTGGCGTGTTTGCTATATATGGCTACTAGACACGGATTTGTTGGTTTTAATAGATAGGTAAGAACTTAACATAACATGCTCAAATGAACATAGCGAATTATAGAAGTGATTGAATTTGAATATCGAAATTGTTAATGCAGTAACTTCTCAATTGAAACTTTGCGAGTAACTTCTCCACGTCTTTTGTATTTCTTTTATATTCCATAGCCAGAATTAAAAAAATCTTATTTGAGCAAGTTTACCTAAATATTTCTATACTACATGCAAGTCGAACTTACATGAAATATGAAACAAGACGCCGTTCTGGCGTTAACTCCGGCGCACGTACCAGTCTTCAATATAGAGCTTCTGAACATAAACAATACAGTTCGCGTATTGTTTCGCATACAAATTCGCATTTAGATGCCTTGCGAACCTAAATGTTCGATCGCGAAATTCAGAAGCACATCGCAGTATAGAAGTTCATTTGTTCAAAAATGTAAATAAACCGCATGATACATTCGCTTCGTCTTACACTTTGCCTTTGGAATTCGTGCTTATATAGTTATATTAAATCTTCGATCCTGTGCAAACTACGCGACGTGTCAACGCGCCCATACACGACCACACATCTTGTTAAACGGCGAAATAGCAACGATATTAATAAAATAGGACCGGAATCTGCATGTATTAAATATATTCTTACCCCAGTTCAATTTAATCGAACAGCATGAAAAGAACGGTTTATTTGTTCCTCTTGGAGGAATTGCTGTATCATGCGAGCGAAATCGAATCGCGCATTGGAAAAGAACCAAAGCTGTGCACCACAACTCTTGGGAGATAAGACTGGGACGTAGATAAATCCGGTCACATACACATTTCAGATACTGGAGTGTTTCGCGCCATTTCTGACTTGCGACGACGAAAAATAAAAAAAAACAAAAACAAAGCAAAACCTGGGCGAATTTTCAACTCCGTCGCTGACGCCGGAGTAATTAATAAATATATGGTCTCGAAATGGTGGCACTCGCTACTCGATACGTGTAGAAGTTGAAATATATGCGCAGAACGGACTTTACCTCATCTTTAATGATGATTATTGCAAACACGCGGAATTTGTCGTCTGGCTACTTTCCATTTTGAATTGTCCGCTGTGCCGAAATGAACGTAAAAACAAGAGATGTCGTCAACGCACTTGTAGACAAAATGTAGTGTCTAATCCGGTATAATAATCAATACTTGCAAATCTTACTACTCTGGTCATCCGGTGAAAGAAGATTGAACAAAATATCCTTAACGAGCCTATTTCGGTGTGAGATTCTGTTGAAAGAATTCTACAGCCTAGTCTTATGATCACATTGAAGTATATTTTAAGTTTTTCCAACTGCACTGATGATCGAATACTTACTAATTTTAACCGTTCAGCTTGATAGAGAGGAATGGGAATGGTCAAATACTCTTCGAGAATTACGCAATCGGGGTATTTTTGGTCGTTGTGTCATGGTATGACATAGACTCGCAGGTTTCTCCTATGGCCAGCTCTGGCTATGTCTCGGAAGATCCCCCTCCCTATGCTTTGTTATTTGCGTACATGCATCAAAGGTGAAACAAAGGTCTGAGGAAAAGTGGTCAAAAGCTCAAAAGCGTATGCAGCGGGGGCGGCGGAACAGGGGGAGCTAGCCCCCCAGAAGTAAAAGTGGGGGGGAGGCTTAGCCGTTTTCAGTTCATTGGCGTAGCCAGCCTGACGATTTTGTCCCGCTATGTAAATTTCGAGTTATTATAATTATTCATGTCTTTACAAATCTATTGTTTTCACAGTCAGTGAATACAAAAATATTAGCATAGCGGGACAAATCGACAGGCTGGCTACGCTACTGTTTCAGTTTGTGTTTGCCCACGAAAAACTACGATGAAAGCGGCAAGTAACACTCTGAAATGGCTATTTCCGAAGATCTAGAGCATTTTAATTCCAAGAAAATTTCGCTCGGCGCCAAACATGGTGGCGCCTTGTGAAATTAGCCCCCCAAAATAGATTATGTTCCGCTGCCGCCCCTGGTATGCAGGCATTAAAATAGCGTGTCGTTGTACACACTTTGTGTCCTTGTAAAATGCGAATGTGTTTTTCTAAGTTAAAAGTGTGTACTTGAAACTAATGGACATTGTGATTGTTTATAATAACAGGACAGAGTAAGACTCAGTGAGAGAGTACGCCTATGAGAGGAAGACTATATAAGAAATAGCTATTTTCAAGAAACAATATAAGAAACAATTTTTTTGGACGTGCGTCCCTCCTCATTGAGAATCATGCAGGCCTTGTTCTAAATAAAACCAGGCATAGCGACAGTGCGCAAATCTGCCTCCACATATTCATTCTCCAAGCGATAATTTCCTCTGAAATGTGTCCTTGTGAAAAATCTTTATTTTAATGACTGAGCGTATGCAAAGCTGATTGCTTAATACACGGACAGAACGATGGGTTTTGATTGGCTAACGTACATAACAAAGGATATTTTGAAAGGTCGTTGGCAATCTTCAGCGATTAGGTGGAATCAACCGTGGTGCTTGCAAAGTAGAAAAATTAAAACGTCCCGCAATTCGGGCTGTGTCCTTCGAATTCGTTTCATACAAAAGCAGAATCCGCACCATCAATGAAACTGTATATACATCCAACCCTTTTAATACAGCGACACTTATTATTATTAGTGAACACTTCTGTGTAAACTAACTAAAAATTACCGAGAAAAAGCACACTCGCTCGACATACTCTGTCAAGAAACAATAGTTACGAAGGTCTGTGTTCAGGCTAGACAGCCAGTGACCACTGAGCTATATAGCTCAGTACCAGAGGCCCAGAGCTTTTCTAAAATGACGTTACAGTTACATAAATTGTATAATTGCGCTTTTTTGTGGTGACAAAATTTCCTTAAAATAATCCCTGCTATGATCCCGGATCATATTCGGTACTCTAGTCTAAACTATACTTGATGCTTATATATATATATATATATATATATATATATATATATATATATATATATATATATATATATATATATATATATATATATATATATATATATGTATGTATATATATATATATAGATATATATATAGATATATATACAGTCGTTATCATTAAGGTTGTCCATGTCAATATATATACAAATATATAAATATCAATCACGTGACCATTAAACATGGCTTATTTAGTTCACTTACGTCTTTTTCTTTATTATTATTAATCTTGTTTAACTTAACTATGACATAGATTTCCAACGATTTCCCATAAAATTAACGTATGCAGTACAATCACGTGATCGATATTTAGGTATTTATATATATTTCCAGGTGACAACCTTAATGATAACGACTGTATATATATTTTACTTTCAACTAGTATCTTCAAATGACTCTACAAGAAAAAGCGAGATTTATACCCTGCATAACAACCCAAAGTTACACAATGCTCTTCACTACAACACTAGCTCGCCTACTGCGATTCGCCTTCCATCTCTCGGGGGACTTCAATTTTTCTCATGGAGCATTCTGATAATGAACCTGCACAAGAAATGCGCAAACTTCAAGTGAACACGTCATCAAAGTTATCATGATTGTTCGAATTTATTTACTTACATACATGCACAGACTTTATTAAAAAACACGCTAAAACCATTACAAAGATGCGCTACCAATTATGTTATACAATAGACCTTTTTCATAAGGACGTCAAACGCGAAAAGTCTGATGTTACACAAAGTTTGATTGGCTCGGTAGTTTTGTCGAGTCCATCAAATTTCGTGTAACAACAGGCTTTCCTCGTTTGACGTCATTATAAGAAAGGTCTATTATATTAACTTTGGCGGGCATTGCGGTGTATTTTACAGGTTAAAATGATAAATTTGCCAGGCTGAAATATCAGTTTAGCCCGCAAATTTAAGCCAATCAGAAGAATGACTAAACTTGTTTACCATTGCATAATATTATATTTTATACAAAAATTGCCCTTTAAAGTTAATATAAAAGTAATATAGTTGATGTTCTTGGGCATAAATGTGTATGCAAAGGACAATTAAGAGACACTGAAGTACTGTTCTATCAGTTTGCTGCGTGGGAGTCAAACCAAAACCTAAATAGGGCTGGTTTCTTAAGATCGACAATTTTTACGAACCACATTAAAATGTTGCGAATGCTAATATACCAACCTCTAATTGGCCTGATTTTGGAACTCCACACAACTTTTGTAGTTGACAAACTAACTCTGAAAATGTTGGTCGTTTCAAAGGACTTTTGTACCAGCAGCTTGACATAATATTTGTTCTGCATATATGCACATATATATGAAAAGAATAAAATAATCTGTAAATTTGGCATTGAAACGATCCACTATAGTGTGCAGGGAGAATTAACTTCGTCATTTCGACACACACCCTTCGCCTCGAAGAAAATTTCTAAGCTATAAGTTGAGACGTTTGGACCAGGAGGAATTATGGAAAGGTTGCGACCATTTGGGTATAATTCTAAATTTTTTATTTTTTATTACTCATCTGCCAGTAGGCGCATGAGGCCGTAATATATTAATCAGGACATTATTGGATAAATCCAAATAAATAAATTTCGGAGAGCGGTTCCTAATGGCCCACTTAGGTTTCAGAAGCATATGAATTAAATTCTGGAAGCAAAATTTGGAATCTTTGGACGCTAAGGCCCGTATTCAAAAAGCTCACTCACACTCACACTCATTGAGTGTGACATATAAATTTTGTTAATGCTGATCAATGAGAAAGTTTTCTCCCAATAGATGAAAAGATATAAGGTAAGTCACTGAAAATCAAGCCCCTGTTCGGCTGAAAATACCGCCATTGAAACGTCATGAGAAGATTAAGATCTCCCACTCAATGAGTTTGAGTGTGAGTGAGCTTTTTGAATACAGGCGTAAATGTAGTCAAAATGTATTATCATTCATTACGTAATCTACAAGAATATTATCATTGATAGGTTTACTTAATATTTATATTATAATAATATAAAGATAATTATCATAAATGGTTCGGGATATCATGCCCTCCGCGTTCTGAATTTGATTTATGTGCCTACAGTGTTTTATCCTGATTAAATACTGCATGGAAATGCATGCAAATCTACTGCCTACAGACCCTGGGGTCGGTTGTTATAGAAAGGCGTTTACAGTACTGTCCAGGTAAAACCTCGGTCTGACAGACTGTTGTTCAAAACATTTGGTTCAGCTGTTTATAACATTTCGTTCGGAATTTTTTTTTCCTTGTGGTGGTCTGCGGTTTCTATCTGTCGACCCCAACCGAACCGCAACCGCAGTGTTAGGTTATTTCTGGAAGTTCAAAATGGAAAACAAAATTATCTGTTTATTGAACAATTGAGCTGAAATTTTTCGATGTAAATAGTGTACTTTTCAATGGAAGTACATATTCAATGCATAAGATGCAGGTTAATCGCCTTTCGAACAACCGGTCCCTTGTGCATAAAAATTCGCAGAAAGGTTGTTTAACTGAACTTAATTCACGTCAAGTTTGTTTATGCTTACATTTCTTGAGGACAGTGCATTGGAGGTTCCATTCTTTTTTCGTCTAACAAAGTTTGAAGAACTGACGCAGGATCAAGGTTTGGATACGGTGTTCCACCTGAAGTGAGAAATTGTTAAGGACAACCTAGAAATCTCAATTACCTATTTACAGAAGATGAGAAGAAGTAAACGTTTTGAGCGTTCCCCAAATCATTTTGCACACACTACGATTGTAGAGTTAGAGCATAGTGCATACATACAGGTGTAAACTTACCTAGAGTGAACATTTCCCACAAGACAATGCCATAAGACCACCTAAATCAATCATTCAACTGATTTATGATAATGATAATTATGACTTATCATTCATTGAGTTATATTACTCTTCAATCACGGCAACTAGAACTAGGGAATAAAGTAGCCTCGAACTAAAATAACGTAAAGATTCGAGGCTAGAGCAGCGAGAACCTACACCAACAACACAAATATGACGAACATTATAGTAGTTAAAACCGTTGTATGTAAAGGCCGGTCCTATATACACTACCACACGTGTGAATAAAAATAAAACACCCGATAACGCTTGTCATAGAAAACTTATACTTGTCCGTAACCGGCGTAAACCAAAAAACAGAAGAGCACATGCTTTTTAATTTGTAAAGGGAATAACTGTTAAACTTTAACATGTTATGAAAATAGAAAAAACTTCTTCTAGACTTCTAGTCAAGACAATCCTGGCGAAATCCCTGATTATTTCCGGTCGAATGTAAGTTTCAACAGGTTTTCGGCACACACAAAACATGCAGGTTCAGTGGCGAATTGGCAAATCAAAGTTTGACTTTCCGCTTTCCGTATAAAAGATTAGCTACAACAATGACTTACACGTCAGTTTTCTCGTTAAATACACGATCTTGTATCGCTTCAATAGCCATCCATTTGATAGGAAGTAACCCCTGAAAATTTATATGCGGTGAATAAAGTTAATCTGCATGTGAAGTTAAAAATGCTTCCCGCGGTTGAAGATATAAAATTTTCTTTCTGCTAAGAAATATATTTTGCTATAACTTATATAGAATTGATTTTATTGAACCGCAACATTAAAGTAGCAACCTACATGGCATCTAGAGATCCCACTCATCTGTTGGACTGATGTTCCTAAACGCGGTGAGGTCCTCAAGAGTTCTTGTTGGCAAAATTTAGCAACGATTTTAAATAGGACCTCTTGCATAATAGACCAACTTTTGATTTAGGCGACAAAAAGGGAATTTCCGAAAAATGCATCATAACTAAACTAAAACTTAGTAAAATTTCCAAGTTTGGCTGCAAAATATTTTTTGTAAAGTACCGAACCCAAGAAGCCAAGCGAAGTTGCCAAATTTTGTGGTCTTTTGTATTAAGCTATAATAAAACCTGGAACGCTAACTCCTCATTTTGGCTGCAAAATGTCTCCGTACCACTTGACATTTTGCAGCCAAAATGAGCAATTAGCGTTCCAGTTTTTATTATAGCTCACGGTCGGTTTTGACTTGGACAAAAGCCCTACAGGGGCGGACATCTTGGTGCCATTTAGGAAGTTTATTTTTTATTTGGCATAAATCTTTTTTACAACACTCATTGCATGTGTGCATGGAGATCTATATATAGTGCGCGTGTTATATCGTATATATTATACCAACCGAAGTTTTCTTCACATATTCCAGGTCATAGTACACATCGCGTGCCAAACCGAAATCTGAAATCTTGGCAATATACTCCTGGCTTATCAACACATTGCGGGCTGCTAAGTCGCGGTGAATGCACTGAAAGGAAGAGTAAATTTAATATTAGCACAATTTAAAACTTTGTTATGATTTTATCTATAAAATTAATGACCTTATTTAACCGACTACAAAAACTTGGAGTCAAAATGATCGAACCTTAGTTACAGGCAAATACCAACAATAGCTAATATAGCTAGAGCTAGTTAAAAAGATTCGATTTTAATTTCACTTTTCAAAGCAAGAAGAGCTTTTTAGTAAAATTCCGACATATTTGGCTATTTATACTTTTTGGTAAACGATATCACAACCCTTCAGCGTTGTTTACATTATAGTTCATTGACCGACGTGCTTTTCTTGCACGCATTTTCAGGCTTTTAAGGTAGCTGCACTAGATGTGACACCATTCGTGCCCGTTAGCTTTTATATATAGTATTTACCTTTCTAGAAAGTAAATATTCCATTCCTTTGGCGATATGTAGAGCAAAATTTGCAATATTTATGACAGTAAGTTGGCCATTGTCAATCGAGTCCTTCCATTCTGGTTCGTAAATATCCCGTCTTGTTCTGAGAAATTCCTTGAGATTCCCATGAGGACAATATTCCAGGATAATGAGAGGTGCAAGATCTGTATCAACTAAAAAATATAATATCCATTCCTTCAGTAACTGTCTTGTTGCCCTAATTTACCAGGATGGCTAAAAAAAATTAAAAAGGTGGGAATGGAACTGAATTCGAAAGTTCATTGTTTATCATCATAGATTCAACATACATAACGAAGCTCAGTTATCAAAATGGATAGTATAGATCTATCAGTACCATGCATCTAGATAAAACTGGCCATGGTTTCATACAGTACTATACCTCAAAATTTTATTTCTCTATTTTGTAATTATAGAATATTTTGCTGTAACTATATTATATCTTTCCACGAATTCTAGTCTGAGTTTGGGGTTTTTTTTGTTCACAGTATACTAAGAGAAAAATCGTGCCTAATATATTGCCATGTTCTTCTCGCAAAAAATGTGAAAATCTAAAATATCATTATAGCCACAAATGGATCATGTCCGGTACGTTAGAGCGATAAAAACTCCGTTTATCTCAGTATCAATTTACTTCTACCTTTGGTAGATGCACCAAGTATCCGAGGTAGCTGCATTTTCATGTTCACCAACGTGAATTAGACTGAATTTTTATTTCAGATATAAGATCAGAAAGTTCCATTTGTGTCGTAATTGCCTATACATAGTACTGTATACTATACCTCAAAATTTTATTTCCCTATTTTATGATTATAGAATATTTTGCTATAACTATATTATATTTTCCCACAAATTCTAGTCCGGGTTTGGTTTATTTTTTGTTCACAGTATATTAAAAAAAAATCGTGCCTAATATATTGACATTTTTTCCTCGCAAAAAATGTGAAAATCCAATCAAATTTAAAATATCATTATAGCCACAAATGGATCATGTCTGGTACGTTAGAGCGATAAAAACTCCGTTTATCTCAGTATCAATTTACTTCTACCTTTGGTAGATGCACCAAGTATCCGAAGTACATTTTCATGTTCACCAACGTGAATTAGAATTTTTATTTCAGATATAAGATCAGAAAGTTCCGTTTGTGTGTAATTGCCTATACAATTTGAAAAACATTACAATAATTAATGTGCCTTAATGTTTCTAAGTAGGCAGATAGGTAGGCAGGTAGGTTTACAAGTGGGTGGGTAGGTATAGGTAGGTAGATAGGTAGGCAGGTAGGTATATAAGTGGGTGGGTAGGTATAGGTAGGTAGATAGGTACGTATATAGGCGTGTAGGTAGGTGGATGGGTAGGTATAGGTAGGTAGATAGGTAGGTGGGTAAGTATAGATAGATATAGAAAGTGAAGATTTAATCACGTTAACAAATAGTGCATGGCAAAGTCAAACCAACGTGAATGCAGTTTTTTTCCTTTTCCTACCTTTGAGTGTCTTGACTGCGGTGTCGACAACATCGCCATCGTTTATACTGACAGAAAAACTTGGTTTCTTAACACGTCTAAGTGAAAAGCGGTGTTTGCGTGGGGCATCTCTTAATGCATTTCTTTGCTTCTGAAATTGTGCCATCCCAACCGCACGAGCGAAGTACACAACACCGAAAGCGCCAGAACCTAATTCGTTTTCTAAAATTGCAAACAACGTATAGAACTGAGAATTTTGCATGTGACGCACGCAAGACAAATCTTGCCCGCACAATTTAACATATTTACACCCGGCGAGTCGTGGGTAAAGCTGATCGACAAGAGGAAGGGTTTCAAGATTGCCACCAGTTTTGAAGCTCGTTATACCATCGACAACTAACAACATTCAAGAAAACTAAACATCTTGACTCGATCTTGAGAACATATTTCTTACCTAAAAGGATATTCTCTCTTGGAAACTCCCACTCTGACAAGTATGGCAACTTGTTTGTTTGCTCGTGGATAAATTTACCTTGATCGAGTATCTGGATGTAATCTCTGTAATGCGGCATCGTGCAGAGGTAAAAGCCACCAAGCATTTTCTTTCTTCTGTAGAGAATGGCGCCGAAGCACAAGATGAGCAAAGCGACGATACAGGAAACGACGATAATAACAATCAAGTACGATTCTGACAACGATTTACCACCACTTGTTAGATAAAGTGCTAGATTAGAAAAAGGTATAAATTAATTATTTCTAAATTTGAAATGCATTCAGTGGGGTTGCAAGACTCAAAGAGAGTCAGCCCTTAATATACACTGCTTCGGTTCTTCATTTTTTTCGGTATTTTATAGTCAAGATCTGACTGTGGCATGAAGTTTTCTCGAAGACAAAAATGCAGGATTTCGTCTCCTACCTTCTCTGTTTGTTTCGTTCAAAACATCCCAAGTGAATGCATCAACTCCTAAACTGTTGTTTGCCACACATTTATACAGCATCTTGTAAACCATTTGCCCTTTCACGCGCAATGTGTTTTTGCGTACAATAATGGCAGTCCTGAGGCGTGCAGTAACGTCACTCCATCCATGCTTCTCGTTTCTGTATTTCCACCGAATGGTAGGTGATGGATTTCCTTCATCCACCTTGCACACCAGATTCAAAGGCGAGTTTTCTTTTACGCTTATCATCTTATTTCGGGATGGCTCATGAACGTTGATTTTTGGTTTCACTACATTGAATTAGAGTACGTATTAATGGATGGGCAGCGTGCTTGCACTGATGTCACGAATTTCTCAGTAGCAAAACCTTTTAGAAATGACAGGGACCGCGGGGCAGGGTGGCTCGCCGGGCTTTAGCCCCACCAATAATTTTTCCGTAATTTAGTCTTTGATTACGAATATTTTTTAGTTCGCTCAAATTTCAAGGAATATCTTTATAGCAATTCAGTGTATTTTTTCTTACAAGTATATGCAGTGTATCTTATCTTGAATGCTATCGAAACTTTTACTTCTTCAAAGTATATTTTAATAACCAAACAAATGAGTATTTCAACGATATCTGTCATGATAAATCCGCCATGTTTACAAATGGATTGAAATTAGTTATGTTCAGCACATAAATATGTTTGGCCAAAATAAAGAAAAAAACAGACACAAAAAGGACAAGCATTTGACCATTAAAACAGCGCGGCTATCCATTTCGAAATATTTGACATCATAACCAAACATGGTTATATTTTCCGGTATATTCGACCATGTTCGAATATACAATTTATACCCTTTTCGGTTTCGAATATACCTTTTCCGGTGTTTCGACCATGGTCGAATATACCGTTTTCCGGCCACATTCGACCATGGCGAGCATAGCGTTTTCCGGCGTATTCGACCATGGTCGAGTATAGCGTTTTCCGGCCATATTCGACCATGGTCGAGTATACCGTTTTTCGGCTATATTCGATGCTTGCAAGTTGCAACTTAAGTTGCAACTTAATATAAATTTATATCGATCTTTGTACATGAGCACCAAACACTTTACAAAGCATGGTTATATTTTTCAATGTTTGTATATGAGCACTATAAGCATGCATGCTTGCAACTTTACATAGGACAAGCATTTGACCATTAAAACAGCGTGGTTATCCATATCAAAATATTTGACATCATAACCAAAGCATGGTTATATTGTTTAATGTTTGTATATGAGCGTCAAACATGCCGGGGCGGGAACTTTACAAAGTATCTATTATTTCCCATTTAAATTGAGAGGCTTAGCGGCCATTTTAGAGGCCTATGTATATTTCAAAATTTTCCCGGACTCTCCTAGCAGGCGCGCAGTTCCGACCCCCAGTAATACGAAAAACGCTCCGCGGTCCCTGAATGAGATATTATTGTGATGACCTTTTTAAACAACCAATTAATATGGAAAACGTAATTACCCAAAATGTTAAGCGAAAAATTCGCAGTAGCTTTTCCGTTCATGTTCTCAGCCACGCAATGAATCCTTATACCATCGTGAAGTGAATATTTCACATTGGAGATATAAATATCTGGAAAATGATCTTTTGAATTATTTACAATGTCATTGACGTCTGCATCACTCTTAACACTGTGAAGTTCGCATTTAACACGAGGTTTAGGATATCCGATGGCCATAATTGTCATATTCCATGATTCTCCTTCTTCCAGTGTTACCACGTTTGATGTTACATTACTTATAACGAATGTTGGTTTGACATACTCTATTAAAATCATAAAGAATTAAATGATCGATTGAAGTTTGGAAAATTGGTGAAAAGGATAAGGATAATATTTTAGTTGACGGGCAGAATCCTAGCTATTGACGTTTATGCGTTATAAATGAAACTATATCGATGGACAGTAATGATCATTGTGTATCCGAGACCGGTTGTACGATCGTTCTAAAATTGCCCTTTGTTTGGTATAACTTTATTCAATTAACCTTATTATTATATGGCAAATGTCACTTCCGGTGAAATGGAGCTCATGCAGTGATTAGCTGAAAAAAATTTTCAACGCTCCATTACTCTCTCGTAATTAATGGACCGGCGTTACCGGCGATCCATTACGAGATGAAAAACAGAAAAATTCTGAATGAAAAAGGCACAAATAAATGCTCAAGAGAAAATCTAATTGATTTTGAAATTAATAAGACGTTTCCAGACAATTAGGTAAACTAAATAATTCAATATTTCGTGTTTTTTTTTCAAATGCGTACCAGGCTACTAATATACGAATTCATGCATTTCTTTCTTGTTTTAAGTGCAAATACACGCCTTATGCCATATAATAAACTTTTTATTAACCTTGCTTGCTCGGTCTTTACCGAGAAATATCGGACCTCGATCTTTTTGCACAAACCTCACTCTTTGACATCGGTCCGATATTTCTTGCTAAAGACCTCGCGCTCGGTTAATAAGAAGTTAGTAATCTTAAATTATGCATCCTTCTTAATTATTTTTAACTCAGATGAAGAGCTGTAATTTTATTGCTTAGTTTTATAGATTTCACTCTACAACACACCGTTTTAAATATATAAAAAGACTAGCTGGTGCCGCTTTTAGTGGGTGAAATCAGTTACAACAGTCCACGTAATTACCTTTGCTCGCGAGAAAAACACTGTCTTCAGCAGTCCATTTCACAAGAGACCTTTCAGCAACACATATGTACAGACCGCTTTCACTTTTGCCGAATTTATTTATGGTCAAAGATCGTGTCAATCTTCCTTTCTCACGAAAATTTAGGTTGTCACTGGCAATCTCTTTGGGTTTGCCACCTGTGGAACTTCCTTTAAACCAAGCAAGACTGTAGCCTTTATCTGATATTTCACATATTAGTTTCACTGTAGCATCAAATTCAATAGAGCTGTTTGGTTTGTTTTTGATAAACGGATACAGGAACGCTTTTCCATCTGCGAAGAAGAATATACAAAGTAAGAATGAACGTGATAAACGAAGGAAAAGTATAACAAATTAGGTAAGGAAAAATAACCATATATACTAATTTATTTCCATTTAATCGCAACTAGAAGCTATTTTTCATGCCGTGTGAAAGAGTTTGGATGTAAATTTTAATCAACCACTTTTACATCGTTACGACATGGAACTACGCGACTAAATTGAAACCATGCAGGCTTGACGAATGTTAAACGACTGAGGTGATGGAAAGTAGGTATTTGGTTGCGCGATAAATGTGAGCGTGAGGTGTAGTGGAGTTGATGGAAGAGGGTTTAGTTAATTGGGAGAGGGGTGAGGTTTAGTGGGGGTGGGCTGAGGGCGAAGGGAATGGAAACACTAGAGTGAAGGAATGGTTAATTTTCCTGAACATGTACAAGTTTAATCTAATCAATACAAGACACGCGAGAGTAACTTACTCATGTTAACCTCGAGTCCTCCAACCCGCTTTGTTTTTCCACAAACATCGCAAGAATACGATCCAGCATCAGTAACGTTTATGTTTGTCAAATTAAACATATTGTTTTTCATTCTTAATTTATTTCCATCAACGATTCGTTTTGTTTTCGAACCATCAAGAGTTGTTTGCCAAAGTGTCGTCACATTAACGTGAGGATTATTCACGCTACAATCGAACGTGTACCATTCTCCAGAGTATCGGTCATAACTTCGTTTAGTTTCTTTTTTTTTCCATTCTATGCTGTCTGAATAGAATATAAAATTATTTCTTACAAATAGTGGTTTGGTACCCATAGATTTCGATCAGTGTTCGATATATTAAAAATGACTGTTAATAAAGCCTCGTGCATGTGAAATGGCCACGGGTACCCATGCATTTTAGCCGTGTCGTGGTAATAAATCGATTGTAGTGTAACCGTATTAAACATATACTTAAAATATTTTAAACATATTTGTTTCCATTCTTAATCTATCTCCATCAACGACTTGTTTTGTTTTCGAACTATGAAGAGTTGTTTGAAGAGTTGTTTGAAGTGTCACATTAACATGAAGGTTATTCACCCTACAATCGAACGGGTACTATTCTCCAGAGTATCGTTTACTTGATTTAGTCCCTTATTGACTATTTATTAATTTTATGTTGTCTGAATAGGAGAAAATACGTTTTCTTGCTAATAGTGGGTTGTACCCCCCAGGTTTCAGCAAATTGTTCGATATATGAAGAATAAATGTTCAAAAAGCCTTAGTACAATTAGAAAGGGGTAAATATTTAAAATTCTGCGTGGCCAACGATGAGTCGAGCAACCTCAGATTATTGAACGATAAGCCGAAAACTGAAAATTATTCGATATAAAAATGACTAAAAAAATTGAGATACGAAGACAATTGCTAATACTAAAGATTTTGTTCTTGTGTAAATATTCTTCACAAAATAGGGTTCCTGGAAGCTTCAGTTTTATATACAGCCCAATGCTCCTCGGGTTCAAGTATTTTGGCTGAAAACTCTGAAAAATAATTGGGCTCCGAGGAAACGTTGTAATATCTATTAACACAAACATTATCATCACGGTAGTCAGCTGCTGTCGTTCACTGGTGCTCATGCAGTGAGTTCACTTAAATACAAAAAATCGCATGTTCCTGTTCCGTATTACTAAAGTACATTATTATCCATCATTTCATCAAATATATCATTTTTGACCCAATGAATAGAGTGATGCATAATACTAATACGCTGGAAACCCATTGACGCATCTAAGACAGAAATATAGTAACTTGCCTGTATCTCCTGTGCAAATGTTGTTTTGATTGGCATGCAGGCGAGAAAGAGCTGATAAATAAAGCAATACCAGTATAAGAATATGTAACCCAATTTCCATATTTCTTCTGCATTCGAATCTTTCTCTCTTTTTCTGAAAAGGTAATACCAAAAACAACGGTCAATCGTGCATCACGCGCGGCAGTCGCTAAAAGATTAATTCGATAACGTAATACATACGATCATTAGAAAATACTCAGAAACAATAATAGCGCTTCATAATCGATATTTTAGCCAAGCTGTTTCGCAGCTTGATTAAACTAAGGGGTTTAGTGATTAGAGCTCTACTATATATGTGCTTATAAGCGATAAAACCAATAGAGCGAGGATCTAAAAACACTGAAACTTATACGACCCCAGCTCGAGTATCTCAACAAATTTAAATCCATGCTTCGTTAGTTTGTGAAAAAATTTGCTTGGTACATGCTGAAACATAAAAACAGGCAGGAAATGCTAAATTCTTAATTGTTTTTAGTTGTTTTGAGTATCCAAGAGATAAAAAAAGAACCGTACTTTTGGCTCATTTAAAGAATTAGTCAAAACGGCGGTCGCATGTGTGTCCACTAATTTGAAATATCTATGCATATACTGGCCTTTGACTTGCATTGAGTTGAAACATAAAATTCGATCCAGACACATATTAGAAAAACCGCTTTACAACATCTCGGTCAACTGTTTTCTTTCACATTACATGCAAGCTATTTCAACAAGCCCGCCAAATATATAATTTTCCGCTACTTTTCTCTTGGTCAAAATTTCATTAAAAAAAATTTCATTAAAAATATTACTCTGAACAGCTTTTGTCGCGTAGAAAACCATGTAAATGTTCCTAGGCCTGGAAAAATAGGGAAAAACCTTAAAGAAAATTTCAACATTTATTTTTTGAATGAAATTATACTTTTTGCAAAGTTTTTCTCAAGTAATACATAACACAATTTACATAAAACAATTAAAATGCCTTGTCTGGCGTCGATATGGCGTGATAATGCGTTCAAAGGACGCTCAATTAAGAACATTTGATCACGAACGAGGGCCGCGGAGAGGGGTAGGACTAAAATGCGGATACGGATTGCGGATGGCGGATTGAAAAATGCGGATCAAGTGATAAAATGCGGATGAGAGGATAAAATGCGGATGAGGGGGTAAAATGCGGATGAGGGGATATATTTCGGATCGGGGGATAAATTGTGGATGAGGGTCAAAAATGCGAAAAAAAGGGAAACGATTTGTATATGTGAAAGCTGGAATTTTAAAGAAATAAATATATTGCCTTTCCGAAAATTTGTTTATCACCGCAATGACTGCCGCTGTGCCGCATGTGTTTTCGATTTCGTGCAAGAGAGAATCTGTGGATTTGGAAAGGCATTTCATTTCCATCGATGTCTGTTTCTTTGGATCATTTTGAGCGAGTTCGCTGCAAATGTTATGCTATGGTACTGAAATCTGGTCACCATCCAATATCTCCCTCAAGGTCAAAATATACAACGACGGGCGACAAGATTAATCCTAAATAAAAGTAGGTGAAATCTTACAAAGAGACACTTTATATTTTGGACATGCTGAGTTGTGTTATGACAGAGAAATTCGAGACTTGTTCTTCTTTTATAAGGCGCTATATGCCTATATGGTTATAAGTAATTATGTTAGTTTTATAAGTCATGATCGTTCTCGACTATAATGTTCAATCCTAGTCTATTACTTCAAGTTCTGTTATGCAGAACACTACATTCAAGAACTCTTATTTTAATCGGACAGTTCATTTATGGAACTCAGTGAGTAGAAATGCTTGACCTATAATGGCTTTTAGACTTTATCTAGTTTTAAGAACTTTCTTCGTCAGACTTATTTATTGTTACGTAGCTCTGTTTTTAACCCAGATATGCCATTTACACCTGGTCTCTTGATCGTGAGTGCCCATGCCTCAGAAATTAGAATGTAAATTTCTTTGATTGAAGTAAAGTTCGTTTTGTCTATGCCTAGGTCTTTCAAACCAAGTTACAATTTTTCTAATACCTGTCACAAATTATGTATTTGAATGATTTTGTGGTTATTGCGCAAATCAAGCTTTACCTCAACAATAGTTATATAACGTAATGTAAATTGTAATTGTAATGTTTATAAGAGGGGGGGAGGGTGTGTGCCCCGTGCGCGCACTTTTCCTTTTGGGTAACCCCTTTATTGTTATTGTTAATGTTTCCCAATAAAGTAATAATAATCGTAAATGGACGGATGACAGTCAAACAATAAAGGTGATAAAAAGTTCGTTGACAAGGCGACAAGTTGTGAACTAATTCATTGTGTGAGTTTCATTGAAAAAGGAGACGTCATAAAAACAATCATGATCTCTGTGCAAGTTAATATTTTCCGGGAGATTACAGATGAAATCCTCCTGGGTTGATTAATGAATTCAGTATTTTATTCATTTGTCGGGCGTGACATGTCGGGTTTTTCCTTGCTGTTTTGCATTTCTGCAACGAGATGACTGTTCGATGGCTGTAATCTGGTTGACTGTTAAAAGAAGGCAACTAACGCAATTATTCTCATTTGTGCGAAGCAAACCAACCAGTTTTGATTAGCGTACTTAGTACCATGCTGAAGCAGTTGACGCTTTCCCATTATGTCTCTCAGTCTATCTTCAGGATTCACTGACACTAGAGTGCCTTAATACTGCTCGATACGGACTTCCTCCGTCATATGGTATGCGAAACGAGGCATAGGGACCAAATATGTGCACGCTTGAGATCATTCTGGAAAGCAACGTTTAGTTGATATAACAGTATTTCCGGGGTCTGGGGAAATATATACCGGAGTGCTACACCAAATAGCCGTCGTCTTGGATTTCAGAACAGACTTCGTTTGTGTTTCAACACTAGCGCTAACTCGACCAAAGTCAGTTAGTATGGACACAGAGCTCTTTGGAACATTCTTTATACGTTTTGGCTAACTGAATTTCGTCAAATTTAAGATTGGTCAAATGCTGATTAGAAACTTGGATGCTATTCGGCTTTAAATTGCATGTGGTGAGCTTTTGTTATGAGTATGTAGATAGTCTAGTCTATTGACGACATCTTTAAGACACACGGGTAACACACCCGAGAATGCGGGAAAATTGTATTTATATCATCGACAAATTGAACGGAATCTGCCAGAGAGCCGAAAGAGGTGAGATTTGTCCACGCCGAATAGGGAAGATTCAAAACACGAATATTGCGTCATAATGGAGTAAGAACTGTTACCGAAAACCACAGAAATTCAGAAATATTTCGATATCCTTCGACGCTGTTTTTGATAGTTTGTGAATCAACGGATCCGCTCTTAAATTTTTTCACTACAACATTTATGGGATGACAATCTTACCATCGTCTTTATATCTCGCAAGGTACACAGAACCGAAACTGCCGCAGCCAAGTTACTTTTGCATGCTTGTCTATGTTTCTCCATTCAAATTTAGGAGCTGGGCTTCCAGTTCTTTTATTGGCTTCTTTAAGTGAGCTATGGGAGTTTAAAACTTCCCTCCATATCAAATTGTCACAATACGGTAAAAAAATTAAGGACAATATATACTCTATTTCGATTGTGAGTCTGATAATTTGGCTTAAAATTTTGTAATTGTTTTGTTTGCGTACATTTTATCTATAAATTACACACT